AAAGGTAAAGTGAAATAATTGTATTATTTGTATTCATGTCTATGATAATAAAATCCTTTTGTTTAAACTTTATCTAATTTAACTTTATTTAACCAATTTCTAGAAAGTTGCATGTAGATCATTTTTCGAAAAATAAGGCCATAAACAAGTTTCACTTCTTACGTGTGTACACTAGTACACGCACACATTTTTTTTATAAGTTAGCAGCTATTATCATGCATGTTCAGAGTTGTTTTGTGAACTTTCAACATTCTACTATTAAACTACAAAAAATGGAAGATTTTGCAACGAATATAAAACTTATATTGAGCGTCGAAAGATTTTCCCGGTTTTTTCCCGATTCGCCTCTCAATCCCTAATCGCCCCATTTTACCGGTATACATTTTTATTTTCATGAACAATTCGAAATTCGAATTCAATAACCTTTTTTGTGGCCAGCATTCTAAAAGAAAAGTTTTTACTGTGTGACAATACTTATGACCTGACTAGGTATACCTACAAGTTTTGAACAACAATATTCGGACCATCGGTCTACCGAGCAATTACATTCGCTCGGTGGAAGATATGTCGAAAAACCTACCACACACGTTTATAGATATTTTCGGTTGGTTTAAGGAACAAAGACATTTTCAAGTTTAAAAATTCAGAAATCTCATCCTTTATAAACACACGAAACGACAAGGACAGATCCAAAGAGCAGTCTACCGTGACACTTTTTGTATACGTTGTTTGAAGCCGACTGTGTTACGTGAAAAAAAAACAAATTTAATTAAAAAAATTCAGTATCGTAATTTACGTCTGAAATTTTTGTACCTTCTTTAATTTGTTGCTTTATGACACGATGCCATATTCTATATAACTTTGAAATGGGTGTAGTAATTAAATAGCTTTCTTCTATAGATATGTTACTACGGGGAAATTGTAGATCATTATTAATGAAACAAATTCCGCGTTTTAATTTTAATTTCAATGAAATCGACCTTTTAATCTTTGAAACTAATTCATCGTTATGTTTATACTAATAACACTTGACCCCAGGGAGACGAAGACTAAAGGTAAAACAAAATATACTATTTTGTAATTGGCTTTCCCATAAATACACAAATAGCTAAAAAGTTGCTAGTTGATGATACGCCAATTTTACGTTACGTACACACGACTTACAAAATCGATTTGTGTTACCTACTCGAACCGAGATCTGCGATGTTTCGGTTTTAAAAGCGCGCACTTTATCAGTAGCCAAAAGTCAAAGCGAGTATTCATTGAAGACATTTTTATTTATATACTGCTCTCAGGTCTTGTGTTTGTGTAACCATCGGTTCCATCACAGAACACAATATATTTGGCAGATGCCTGAATCTCGCTTACGACATTTTCAAGATAAGCTTGCATATATATCAGTTCCGAACAACAACATTCGGGTCATACCCAATCCTGTAGACAGAATGGTAAATAGTCGACGTCGCCCAAAACAAGTCATTACGGATCCTCCCGATCCATTAACGGTGATCTTAGGTACCACAGGCACCGGTCACCGCCCTCGTCGAACCCGTCGCTTGCGACGAAGGGCTCGACGAGCGAATGAGCCCACAGACACAGCCCACTGAGTTTCTCGCCGTATCTTCTCGGTGGGTTGCGTTTCCGATCCCGTGGTAGATTCTGCGAAGCACTGCTCTTGCTAGGGCCAGTGTTAACAATACTCCGGTTTGAGCCCCGTGAGCTCACCTACATGTTAGGGCGAAGCTGAAATAGCATCTCAAGGCTATCAGCATAGGTAGGAGAAAAAAAAAACATGCGGGCCATCGGTCTACCGAACAATATCACTCGCTCGATGGAAAATATTTCCTTCGTCGTTATGCCAAAACTTATAAATCGGAACAAAAATAAACTTCTGAACAACGAAGCAACGTTCGCGAGTTCGATGCACGTTTAATTACATTTACACGAACACTAGTACATTAATTTACGATAAACGTTTAGGTATAAGTGATGAAAGGCGATTGCATGCAGCAGAGATGCGAATGTTGCGATGGTTGTGTGAAGTAACAAGAATGGATAGAATACGGAATGAATATGTTAGAGGAAGTCTGAAAGTGGCACCTGTGACAGAGAAGCTGAGAAGCGCGCGTTTGGGATGGTATGGACATGTGATGAGACGAGATGAAAATGAAGTTGGTAAGAAAATGTTAACTATGAATGTGGAAGGATATAGAGGAAGAGGTAGACCTAAGAAGAAATGGATGGATTGCGTGTAAGACGATATGGGTAAAAGGGGAGTGAGCGAAGAAATGGTATATGATAGAAGAGTATGGAAGGAGAAAACATGTTGCGCCGACCCCAGGTAACTGGGAGAAGGGCAGGATAATGATGGACGATGTTTAGGTATAAGTCATTTCGGTCTTCTGAAAAAAGATTAAATGCGACCAAACTCACTTGGAGATCTTTGATTCCTCCGCGAATGCGTTGAAGTACGAATGAGATGTCGCAATCGCCGGCGTAGCTGTAACAAGTTAAATTATATATTGTAGTATTAAGTAGTTGACTTTTTTTTGGAAGGAATGATCGCAGCTGGTTCAGAGACCTTGTCACAAAAGCCGGATGAATGAGCGAACTAGAAGGTTCAATTAGAAGAGTAGTTTTGCTAACAACTGTCCAAACGCCATTGGGGGTAATAGCTTAAGGACAGCTGCTTTGGGAGTTCTTCTAATACCTCATTGGAATCGCGACCCGCCGAGACCTGGCGTGTCATTCAGCCGACTGTTAATTAGTAACGTCGCTCACAATAGACGAACTTAATTAGAATAACTAAAATGTAAGAACTAGTTCGAGTTTCAAGTTTTGTAACTTAAAAAACTTAATATTAGATTTGTTCGCCATAATCCTCAACAGAACAATTTCTTGGTCACCTCACCATAATTTTTTTTTTTTGATTTGCTAATGAGGACAGGCTTATTCAGTAAGCGATCTCACGAAAAATGTGTTTGTTAAATTGTTTTAATTTGACTCTACCATTCCCTTGAACAAATATTTTTATTGGGTTGATTGTTGATGTGCAATTGTCTATTGTATTCTAATCACCTCGCATCCTTAGCTTATAAACGCCAACGTGCATAACTTTCATCTAATGAGTGACTGATAGCAGCTGCCCGTATTTAAAACAATAGTAAATGCAATATGCCATATGATGATTCCAAACAGCTCCGGCATTACTGTTCATAGATTGTATATTTGTTAAATTAAATCATCCAGTTTACTTTAAATATAGTTGCACTGAGTTTATTTAGTGCTCTAGTTGGAAGATCTCATTGCCCATCTGGTGTTATGTGGGTGCTCCGAAAATAGATAACGTACCTTGAACCACTACCTAATCTCTTCGATGAGTCGAGACTTTTAGCTATCTAGAATAAAAAATGAATGTAGGACACTTACTGGTGGTATGACCTCTTCGGAGTCCGCACGTGTAGGTACCACCACCCTGCCTACTTCTGCTGTGAAGCAGTAATGCGTTTCGGTTTGAAGGGCGGGGCAGCCGTTGTAACTATATTGAGACTTTAGAACTTTTATCTCAAGGTGGGTAGCGCATTTACATTGTAGATGTCTATGGGCTCCAGCGACTACTTAACACCAGGTGGACTGTGAGCTTGTCCACTCATCTAAGCAATAAAAAAAAACATTACAGGGACTTACAATAAGTCTATGTCCATGATGATTTCATTCCTCGAGAGATTCTTATCATAAACCTTGACGCCACCAACCCGCGGCGCCTGAGAACAATAATATTAACGAGATTAAACTTTATTACACCTATAAAACTGTTTTATTAATGATCACATTAAAGTAACTTTCTACTTTAGTTGCAATTTTATTTGTAAATTGTCGTGCCATTAAAATGTTTTATTTTCGCAATCGGGATATATTGTGCGCATAAATTGTGCGTTTACATTTTATTGTCTATAGGTTCTAGTAGACACTTAACAGCAGGGAAACCGAAAATTTGTTCACACGTCTATATGCTGTCAAATGAAATAATGAACAAACAATATCTTGAGCCGCCGTGACGTTGAAATTGAAGTCGTCGTGGCCTGAAGGATAAGACGGTGCATTCGTGTTAAAGCGATGCACCGGTGTTCGAATCTCAGGCGGGTACCAATTTTTCTAATGAAATACGTACTCAACAAATGTTCACGATTGACTTCCACGGTGAAGGAATAACATCGTGTAATAAAAATCAAACCCGCAAAATTATAATTGCGTAATTACTGGTGGTAGGACCTCTTGTGAGTCCGCGCGGGTAGGTACCACAACCTGCCTATTTCTGCCGTGAAGCAGTAATGCGTTTCGGTTTGAAGGATAGGGCAGCCGTTGTAACTATATTTGAGACCTTAGAACTTGTATCTCAAGGTGGGTGGCGCATGTACGTTGTAGATGTCTATGGGCTCCAGTAACCACTTAACACCAGGTGGGGTGTGAGTTCGTCCACCCAACTGAGCAAAAAAAAAAAACCACTTCCTTTGAAACATGAGGTTGAAGTCCAAATAGCATTGTAATATCTATTTAATAAGATAAGTCCTCCTATCAGTCGTTATTGATAGTAAACGTATTTACTAAATTCTAATAAAATAACGAGACTGTTGTCACGCCCTTGAAACGGAAAATTAATTTTCATCAAATTAATTAATCCTGATCGTTTTTATGTTTATTTAAGACGGAACGTCAATCGCAATATCCAATATACTCACAATGGTACCGAGAATCATACGTTCAAATTTAAATCCGCTGAGTTTGTAATTGGCCAGGCTCTCCGCGACAGCCGGTTCGATCAGGTCTTTCAATAAAGTCTTTGCGTAGCTGTTCACATTCGGCCAGACTTGTAGGAGTATCTGCCATAGATGTATCAGTTAGAAGCGAGTTATTACAATTGTAAATAGACGCAGCAATTTCTTTGATTGAATAATTGAATGTGAACCTTAATCTCGAGTGGTAAGCTTACATTATTGTATTTACCCTGTTCAACCATTCTGCTCGTTCCACGTCCGGGAAGAATACCTATTGAACAATACAACGTATTTTATTTGTTGCATTCAAGAGATAAATATATATTAATAATAATAATAATAATATAACTCTTTATTTAACATCACATGTATAGAGTAAGCATATAAAAAAATTAATAGACGGTGACATAAATTGGCGGCCTTATAGCTGAAAGCGATCTCTTCCAGGCAACCTTGCAGGGAGAGGAATAAGTAAACTCGACTGTGTTGTATCTTAATAAACTTACATAAAAATATATACTTATATACACATGTGAAAAATAAATACAATATAAGATAAGACTTACATACGACTAAATACAAATAAATAAAAATGAAGAAGAATGAAAGTCTCTTGTTTGAATAGAACGCACCCATGAAGGCAAGTCGTCAAGTCTCGCTAGTATCACATCTTTTTCAGAAGACAGTGCAGCGACCTTTGCTATGTTGCGTTTGTATTCGTTCTCCTTGCGCCATTGATCGCGCATCACCGACAATATAACGGGCCCAATAAGCCACGCAACGCTCCATTGCATATAACCTACTAAGTACACAGCTCCTACAATCGACACCTGCGAAATTAAATTATTCTTAAAATCGTAATCTGTAACCTTAATAGAACTACCCTAGTGACTGTTTCCTGGGCGCAGCCCAATACGTTGGTCCGACCAGATCCGCACCGCTCTTGATTCCACGTTTCTTAACGCCCTCCACACCGCCAGAGACAAGAATGGATGGAGAAAAAGCGTGCGTGCGAAGGTGATACAAAAGGGTGGTCACGACCCTCAGCAATGAGGAATACGACGCAAGGAGGAGGAGTGACTGTTTCCAGACTTCGTTCCGGGCAAATCCCACTCAATTTGCTCATTTAATGGGGAAGGCTCCTGACCCCAAGTGTTCAGTTTGTGATGTAGTGGAAGATGCTTTTCACATTATGATGGAGTGTGCGCGGGATGATGATTTGAGACAACAATTGTTTGCAAAATATACAGATTTTCGACAAGTTGGAGGTGTAAATTACGTATTAGCCTTTCCGAAATCCGAAATGGCTAAGTCACTTTATAAAATAGTGTTGGTGGGCCTTCAGATACGATAACAGTTTCCTTTATTTTTTTATATAATTTTTTGTTACTCTACTTTGCTGCACAATGGAGTGACATATTCACTAGGTGAATAATCTCCTTAATTAAGATATGAAAAAAAAATCGTAATCCCCAGAAGGTAATAATAGAAGTAGATGAAACGCATTAATAGCTAGTTATCAGTGGTTCTATTTAAACAGTGATAATTGTTTGATAAATATGTTAATTGTTCTAAATATGTGTATCGGTACAGTGTGTATTATGCATATACTGTACCGAGGCACTGTATGTAAAGTATGCACAGATATATTTAGTGCATGATGCACAGATGAAACAGAAAGTAATATTTAATGTATTTAGAAGATGTGGTGGTCTGATAAATAAGACGCCCGGCGCATTCGTATCGGAGACGATGCACCGATCTTCGCAATGGATCGCAAATCCGATCCGGTAGTAGATTCAGCGAAGCACTGCTCTTACTAGGGCTAACGTTAGCAATTCTCTCAGGTTGAGCCCGTGAGCTCACCTACCAGTCCGCGCGAAGTTGGAATAGCCACTTAGGCTACCAACGATTAGGCAGGAAAAAAAGTGCCGTTGTTGGAATCCCGAAAGCAGGCACCACTTTTTATAATGAAATACGTACATGTCTAAAACATGTTAACGAATTACTTCTACAATGAAGGAATAACCTCTTGTACTAATAATGAAAACCTGCAAAAATTATAGTTTCAGTAATACTTGTGGTGCCCGCCCTACCCGTGTGGTTTCACAAGATGCCCTATCTTGTGGACCCGCACGGGTAGTTACCATCACTCTGCCTATTTCTGCCGCGTAGCATAGCGTAGCGTAGTAATGCATTCCAGTTTGAAGACTGGCGCAGCCGTTGTACTATAGAACTGAGACTCAACGTGGCATTTACGTTGTTGATATCTATGGGTCCAGGTAACCACTTAAAACCAGGTTGACTGTGAGCTGGTTCACCCATTCAAGAAATGTAAATAATTGAACAGTGTGTACATGAGAAGTTTCAGCCAAGGGTAATGAATGGTGTTAACTCACTTGACTATATCTTATATTCTGTTTAATATATTATTAACTTTAGCGAATGAAGAAATTTTAATATTAATCACGGGTTTCTGCGTGTCAATGAAGACTCCAAACTAGTATATACATACGGCTATTGCATATTATGATATAGACTTGACCTGTGCCCCGGTTATTATTATTATTGACATCAGGGATGACCACAAAAAAAAGTTCAGACAAACTATTATGTAGCCTACCTGACATTGGTTATTTCCTGTCCTATAGGAATACATTTAGCGTGCATGATGTCACTTTTTTTAAATTAACATGCAATGAATCGTTCGTTAGTTGCCTACATCATGATGTAGTTACTGCCTGATAGGAACGCTTACGTCATTGAATACGAATGTTAGGTAGTGCGCTACACATTCCAGTTAGCCTTGTGCTCAAAAATCATTCAGTAGTTAACGACTCCGAAATAAAGTACAACGAACCTGTTTAGGTTTAATATATTCGTTGTTTTCATTTCACTTTTTCTAAAGTTTCGAATACTTTGCCCTTTTAATAGTCACAACGACTGTACTGTAGGTACTTTATAACCACGTTATTTAAAAAAAAAAGTTCTTGGCATTATTCTTAGGCAAACTATATACGAGTATAATAGAAATCTATTGCACTGAAAATTTATTTGTTACATGGTATGAAGTGGCCCCTGAAGCTTATGAATTACGCCATCAAACTTGAGTCATGAGGTCTAGCTCTCAATTGGTTTTATAGTGTTGCAAAAAGGATTGAAGAAATTTACTTACAATCCAACAGAGATACATAATAGTGTGAAAGACTAGGTTCCCTTTTCAAAGACTCCTCATAAATGTTGGTACAACTGTTATGATATGAGTACTGCGTGCGTCAGTACTCCCACAAAAACGATACCAAGAACACCGTATTTACTAATCATGCTCAGGTATAATCGATTTTTATTCTATGAATACCGGTTACGCCTTTGAATCGGGGCAATATCTGCATGAAGTCTGCTTTACAACGACTATAAATAAGTCTCAGAGCTTTCAGTCAAGCAATGGAAGTGTGAAAAGGCTATACACACGAAAACGTTTTTAAGACGTCATACTTTTCGAAACACAAGAGTTTTGTAAATATGTAAATCAATTTTATTTATTTTATGAATTATTCAAATTAAATTAGTTTAAGAGTCACTGTCAGATGAGAGATAATTTAAAAAAATTGTTAACAAGCTGCTTATCATTTGAGCTAGCTCTAAGAAAAGCTAAATGTGGGGTGCTATCTAGTGGCCACTTGCATAAGGGGTACAACTAAATCTTAGTACTAATGACTTTTCAGAATGGTAAAATTGTTTTAGTAAACATAAAAGAATTGAAACAAGGAATAACTTATGTAGATAATCATAATTTATGTCAGATTAGGAGATCTCTCATTGGCTATATCTAATAAAAAAGATGGCAGTGGTAGATTCTGCGAAGTGCTGGTCTTGCTAGGGTTAGTCTTAACAAACTCTCTAAGGTTGAACCCATGAGCTCACCTACCCGTCCTGGCGTATCTAGAAAAGTCTACCAGCAAATAGGGAGGGAAAAAATTATAAAAGATGCATAAGCCTTGATGTTGAGGACATAGAAAAATAAAAACATGCAGAGTAACAAAGTATTAACATAAAATATTAGAATAAAAGACTAAAGCACAAATAAAAGAATAAGCCAATCTTATTTTTCAGATCGCTTATTTGGAGGTCACACATGACTCATAAAACTCTATTAGTACAATACACTGCAGTAAAATATTAAATGTGAGTATGTATGTAACCTTAGTCACTGAATGTTATTTTAAGTACCTATCATAATATTTTATGTAATTAAGAGATTACTCATCTTGAGGGCCTGTTTGTAATTTTTTCTCTTAAATAGTAGTAAATGTCATAATAATGTATCTAGTATTACTCATTAAATAAAAAAATTAATTGCTGTATAGTATCTGTAAAACTAGGGAAAATTCTAGCCTGCACCAGTTGAATGCAGAACACTTATTACTTTTATTATTGTTTAACAAAGATAAAAATAAGTATGTAATCAAAATGAATGATAAAATTAAAAACTACCCTGCTTTAAGTATATTTCAATATTTGATTGATTAAATTCAACACAAAAATCTGCAAAATAGTGTTATTGGGGGTTTGAGGTGTTTTAATTTAATTTTATTTGAATTTATTTGCCAGTATCTCTAAATTATAAAAAATATTCATAGTGTGGAAACTTTATGCAAAAATAGTACTGAGATGAATAAGTACATCTAAGAAAGTTCTAGCAAAATTTTGTCCAAAATAAATCAATGTGGGTTACAGTGACTAGTAGATTTATGGTCACTCTACAGTTTGCTTTTAATAATAATAGCAATGGAGCAATAAGATATAAAAAAATCTCCATCAATGCTACCTTAATCAGATATGTATGTACATCAAACACATTGCTAATATGAATAAGAATGTGCTAAGTGGTTTGAATGAAAATTGTATGATACATGCACATAATTAACATTTACCACACGGTTTGACAACTACATATTATTTTATAAACTATATGAAGATTTGTAAAACTTACCTTTTTGAGAAATGTGTACATCATAGAAAAAACACTGTTGCCATCATCACTGCCTGGTGGTAAGGCAGTTTTGCTTGCACCTGCCATGTTATTATCACTGGCCTAGAAAAAGTAATTTACAAACCAGAAAGTTAAATATTTGAGAATTTAGTTGTAGATTTAAAATTGAAAATTATATTATAAAAAAGAAAATTAAATATTGTAAGCAATTTTAAGACTGAATATGCACTAATGTACTGAGTACTTCAGAAGCACTAAATTAAGAGCTCCTTTTTTCAGGCAGACTTATTAAATGTCAAAATACAACTACAAAAGTGCCACCGGAGTGCTGAAGAACCAACGGAACTAAATATGTTAAGGCTAAAAAATTTTTCAATGTACAATGTGCAATATTTTAACCGGCACGTAAAGCATTATTTTATTATCTACATTTATACTTTATCTAAAGCTAATTCAAACAGAGTAAGGTAAAACAAGATGAATGATATCACTTTTATTTTTAGACTACTGTTACAGTTATCCATATTCCAGGAATGGTTCGAAATAAATATTTGAAACACATACCATGCTGCACTAAACTACTGCGGCGTTGCAGGTGTTTTCGTGATTAAAACGTATTCTGAACAAATAAGAAAATTGTTTTAATATCAAACTAACCAATTTTAATCATTACATTCCGTTGATAATATTTTCTCGTAATTCGTAATACAAAGCACGGTAGACACGATTTTGATAGCTTGCAAATTCAGTAAACTGATTATAATTCGACCTTTCAATGTTTTGGTAAGTTAAAACCATAGACCTAGGTTTCCTACTTCAGTGGTTAAAACTCTATCAATTTATTCAGTATTAGAATATTAGTTTAGGGGTGAGGCGTATTTATCGGAACAGTCAAACGGAACAGGTTCGTCTATGAAAAAACTTCGAACTGTTGTCTATAGACCGAAACAACTGTTCCAACTGTTTCAACTATTCCACAATATTCCATATGTTGCTTTGTTCCATTCCACAGTAAACAATCAGAAACGAAACAGTTTGGAACAAGCTCTTTTCCTTTTTCACGTACAGAAATAGAAAAAGATAGCATATACATCCTGTTCCCAAACAGTTTGTAACATGCTCTTTTCTCATTTCACTTATTGTAATAGAAAAAGATAGCAATAACATTAACATGCATGCACATTTTGGCAAAACTAGTTTCGCATATCATTAATATTAATAAATCAAGTTGTGAGTCCTAAGCCTGAGAAAGCCTGAAGGATTGTTTTCATTTCAAAAAATGTATTAAAACCATTTCATATGTATGATCTGTTCCTTTATGTGGAACATATTATTATTCTACTTAAAACATTATTAAACCTGTTGCAACACAACAGGCTGTTATATTGGAACAGGCTGTTGTATTGGAACAGGCTGTTATATTGGAACAGGCTGTTATATTGGAACAGGCTGTTATATTGGAACAGGCTGTTATATTGGAACAGGCTGTTATATTGGAACAGGCTGTTATATTGGAACAGGCTGTTATATTGGAACAGGCTGTTATATTGGAACAGGCTGTTATATTGGAACAGGCTGTTATATTGGAACAGGCTGTTATATTGGAACAGGCTGTTATATTGGAACAGGCTGTTATATTGGAACAGGCTGTTATATTGGAACAGGCTGTTATATTGGAACAGGCTGTTATATTGGAACAGGCTGTTATATTGGAACAGGCTGTTATATTGGAACAGGCTGTTATATTGGAACAGGCGCGCCAAGCACTCGTAGATACAACAAGTGCACCGCCTCACGGAGCACATCTTAATAGGGCTAACTAAGCGGAAACCAATCTCGACCGGAGCCCTCTTCTTCGATATCGCAAAGGCGTTCGACAAAGTCTGGCATAATGGAAGCACTCGTAGATACGACAAGTGCACCGCCTCACGGAGCACATCTTAATAGGGCTAACTAAGCGGAAACCAATCTCGACCGGAGCCCTCTTCTTCGATATCGCAAAGGCGTTCGACAAAGTCTGGCATAATGGTTTGATTTACAAACTATATAACATTGGAGTGCTAGACAGACTCGTGCTTATCATACGAGACTCCGTTCGCAAGAAAACCTTGTTTTAAGAAACATCCAGCACACTTCACATCGTTTGAAACTGCTACGTTCATGTTTATACATTATACACTTTTTTAACTTGTTTTATGATGGTTTCCCTTACCTCTATCACACATTATAAGAAAAATGTGCAAAATGACTTTTTGGCAGGAGCACGATTTTGATATGATTCAGTCATGCATTTTACAATGAAACAAACTAACTACAAGGGAAGATACGAAGTGCGAAAAAAAACTTAGGGATGCCACTTAATACAGATGCCCTTGTAGGCAGACGAGCATATGGCCCACTGATGGTGAGTGGTTACCGTCGCCCATGGCCTTCAGCAATGCCAAGGGTAGCTAGGCCGATGCCTACCGCTTAATACTCTCCACAAGCCGCGTTTGAACAAGGACATGTCATAGCGCTCTGGAAACACCGTGAAGGCGAGCTCATTCCAAAGCCGGCACGTCATCTCGGATCGCTTGCGACGAAGGGCTCGGCGAGTAAATTAACCCACAGACACAGCCCACTGAGTTTTTCGCCGGATCTTCTCAGCGGGTCGCGTTTCCAATCTGGTAGTAAATTCTGCAATGCACGGCTTTTGCTAGGGTTCGTGTTAGCAACAACGTCAGGTTTGAGCTCCGTGAGCTCACCTACTAGCCCGGTGACGTTGATATGGTCTCTCAAGACCATCAGCTTAGGTAGAAAAAAAATATATTCCAAAGCCGGTGGTACGTGGTAAAAAAATATCCGGAAACCCACTGTGGATGACCGCAGTGGCTCCAGGTAGTATGGATGAACTCTACTCCTGTGGCGGGCGGTGCGGTGCGGTGTCATTTCAAACAATTTCTCAGAGCACTCCCCATGGAATATACGGTACAAAATACAGAGGGAGCCGAAGTCCCTCCGCAGACCCAGAGTTTCCAAACGATTCGTGAGAATGGGACAGTCGACAATCCGAACGGCTCTCTTCTGTGTGGAGTCAAATGGAAGTAGCTAGTATTTGGGAGCCCCGGTCCAGAGGTGGGAGCAGTACTCCACGCGGGGCCGGACCTGTGCCTGTAGTTTTGTGTGTTTGTAGATCAAAAGACACCTGTGTTTGTAGATCAAAAGTCTTTATCCAGGCGTAAAGTACCGCTTCGCTCTGTTGAGGACTTCTAGCATTTTTGACGCCAGCTTTTCTCTGTCCTCCATGACTCCGAACTTGGACATCGCTCGAAATATCGACCCCAAGTATTCCAATACTCTCGGAAGGTTACAGGGATACTCCTTGGAATTGCGGCACCATGACAAATGGGTCCTTCACAGTGAACGCGCAAAAGATCGCAAACTTTTGTCTTCAACAGGACCCCCCACTCGGAGACTCGCACTAGAGTTCTCCACTTCAGACACAAGTTTTGATCGTTTTTGAGCGTGGTGCAAGAGAGATACCTTTTGCATCAAGCTCCGAGAGAGACTCTGGTGGCCCCTCGTGGCATCACCCGTGCTGTCATCCGCACAGCAATACATGGCATCAATAGACAGCATGTGGGTATATACAGGCTTGTCATTGATATACAGTATGAAGAGTGTGGGGGAGAGCACCGAACCTTCTGAAACGCTAGCGTTAATGATCATGGTATCGGAACAGTCACCGTCTAGAACGACTTTGATGCTCCGCCCAGCCAAAAAGGTAGCGATCTACTTGCAGTCCCTCGGGGATTCCGTGAGATGGTAGCATGGACTGATGTGCCCTATGTCAGACCCTGTCGAAGGCCTTCGCGATATCAAGGCTCACGCGAAAGCCTCACCCTTGCTCTCCAAGGCTTCAGCCCGCCTGTGAGTAAGGTATACAAGAAGACTGCGTACCTACCAACAAACTTATTTCAGAAGTGTATATTCAAGAAAAGGTGAAGTTTATCAATAAACTTAAGTAAATTTAATTCTTAATAACATATATAATTGAATTAGCCAAATTACCTATAGCACAATTCATCTGAAGGTTTTATGGGCGACGCTCCATCACTGTTAATAAAATGCTATGTATAAGATAAGGTATAAAAGGCTTTGTTAATTGAAATGAAATATATTTATAATTAATCACTATTTTTATTACACCTTCATAGAACATTTACATATTATATTTTATAGAAAATTCATTTCTAAGTTTTAAGTTCTCAAACTACTTTCTAGCGTCATGTTCTATTTTCTTTTATAAAATACTAAATTACAAAATTTCAAGACCAAATGCGGCAACAATTCATAGCTATTTCATTTAAAAAACATATTTTTTATGGAATGTGAAGTCTAGTAAAAAAAATGTTCTGAAGTCGCGTGTAACTCCATAGAGATCATTCCTCGAGTAGAATCAGCAAGTAAACATGCATAAAGTAATCTGTATATAAATATTATTAAACCTTTTTAAAAAATTATTGCATAATAAATGATGATCTTGCTCATAATATAAGCTTATTGATTGACTATTTTTATGGTAAAATGGACTAGTTAAACAAACAATAAGGCACTTTGAAATTATTCATATATTACTAAAGATTGTAAGGATCTAAATAATTTCCAATAAAAAAAACTCTGAAGTCTGCTGTAAAACATTAAACTATAGAACACAATTTCTTGTTCACTTTAACTTTCGTAAAACACATCGTAAATTTCCTTTTGGAAAATTACTTAAAATATGTAGTGATTGCACATTAAAAATATAGTAATTTACTTTATAGTATTCATCACTTAGATCGTCAATAAAAAATGAAGTAAAATCTCCAATTTAAAAAGAAAACATTCATACATCTACAATAATTTGGCATGAATTATTTATATCAGTCTATAAATTTCAGAATATATTTTTGTAGTTATAACCAAAGTCTCAATAATATTCTTTTAATATAAGATAATGTCATTAATAATCTCCATAACCCTTTTCTTCTCTAATCAATTTAATATTCATTTAATATTCCCTAATACAGTTATTTATGATATAACATATCATATTTTCTGTCATTTTGTAGATAATAATATAGTATATTATTATGTGACTAAAATTTTGGGAGAGGCCTATAGGTACAGCAGTGTACGTTACTGGGCTAATGAGAATAATTACAACCAATATTAGGCGTAAGAACCGCCCATTGCTTTAACTTTTTTAGTATGTTTTATGGTTTTGATGTAGTTCGGCAAGTGGCTTTGTCGTATTTAGTGCCCTTTTAAATTTAATGAGAACTGCCATTCCTAGCTTTATTCGTTACGTAGTAAATATGTATATATTATGATCTATGCACTTCTTCCTCATTACCATTAACTATTAACATAGATAGGAAGCGCCCAGTCGTTTCAGCATATCGATGTATACATAATTATGGTGAGTCACAGCGAAGAATAGCAGAATTTCAGTAATAGTAAAAGTTTATCTACAATCAATATCTGTTCACCATCAAAATGGTTTAGGCTGCTAAATGTTTAACTCGTTCAAGTAGAGAGTCACAAGTCTTTTTAGCATCGCCGAGTAACATCGCAGTGTTGGGATTGTAGAATATCGGGTTGTCCACGGCCGCATATCCAACTCCCATTGATCTTTTCATTACTACAACCTAAAATTACCAAAGTCATAATTAGAATTTAACAATTCAGCAAAAAATAAGAGTACGACGTTGTGCGTTAAATATGTATATAGGACATAATATAATCTTCGCAATCCGTTGATTAGTAAAAGTGGGTTATGTGATATTGTCATAACAAGTTATTGTGATGTAGACAATTGAAAGAAACAGGCATTTGGTGAGATTTGTATTAATATTTGTTGTTCACAAAGAACTACCTGCTTAGTTTTCGAAATGGTATATAGTCAACCTTCTTACCTGATTCGCTTTCCATACTTTGAGTACCGGCATTCCCGCAATAGGTGAATTCGGATCATCTTCGGCCGCGCTATTTACAGTGTCATTAGCACCTAAAACCAAACGATTATGTGGAACTTAAAGGAATAGTACATTGTGCACCAAGGGAGAAATGTCCAACTTTTATCCCGCGGTGCACATACTATTTTTTTCTCATACCAGGCCGAAAGTTCGTGGAGTACCGAACCGGGGTCCAGGGGCAAAACCCTGGCCGGGGGTAGGGGGGGCGGAGTCCCCCCATACTCATAAAAAAACAATTTAACTGTTTTTTAATTTTTTAATAAACTACTACTAATTGAATAAGAACTGATGAACTCATCTTTGTTTAATACTTCACTATGAAATTTTATTGCCTTTTGTTTATTTCACTTTTACACTAAACACAATATAGCAAATTACCCGAGCACAACTGTGGCGGAGAATTTTAGGTGCGTGAGAGCAGACGTATAGTCGGATTTTTAATTAGACGAAGCCAGCTGACAGTAGCTAATGTCACTTTGTGAAATAATGTTGCTATATTTAAAGTAATAGTGATGCGTTCAGTTCTCGTTCAATCACATAAATGAACAATGAGTGTGAAGAGTTAATCATTAATTTCAAACTATAAAAGAATATTATTTATATTTTACAATAAAATTGTATTAAAGTGCTCCAATATATGTTACTAGTAGTATGTAACTACAATCAGTTTTTTTATTTTCATTACATACCTATAATTGTTATATTTTATACATCTATAATTTCAACTATATGATGTATTGGAAATAGGACAGTCTTACAAGCTTCCTCGCAATGTTTTTCTTAATGTTTAAAACACTCGGTATTCAGTACAGGTAGATACCATAGGAACATAATGTTTCGTCGAAAACTCGTTGGTATGTACAAAGCACGGCTAAAATTCGAACCCCGTGCCCGATATCGGCAGTTCGGCACACTAACTATTCACTAGACAATCGAGGCAATTTCATTAATTCAGGAGTTTTTTCACTCGTTCACTTTGTCACAACACTATTTTTATTTCATCAAAAACTGACAACACAGTAAACGTCAGTTTACTTCGTCTAATAAAAAATCCGACTATAGACTCTAACGCGCATGCGCACTTGTACCCAGGGAGAAAAAGTTACACTTTCTTCCCTGTACAGCGGGACAAAAACCGAACTTTCGGCATAGGTAGGAGAAAAATATATTATACAGTTACAATATACAGTTCACGTAATTGTAGTTTCGGCTGTTGCACAATACAAATATTGGGACTTTGACCTCATGTCACATGATCAATGGCAGTATTTACATCATGGTGTCTATGAGCATATCTCACCGTAAACTTTTTCAAATTATAATTATAGGTATAATTTCTACCATTATATCTATTAAAATGTACATTGGTTTAACGTTTACGATATCACCGTACATGAAATTATAAACATTTTACTACTTCGTTCGTATGTAATGTTTACGTACCAATAACAAGTACTAAATCGGTCTCGGGGAATTCATCATTAATTTCATCCATTTCAAATACGTCATCGTATGGAACTCCAGCTTCGGCCAATAATACGTTGAGTTGTCCGGGCATACGACCTACAAATACACCAAAATTTTATTTAAGATATGACTGGAAGTGACGCTAATAGAAAAGCAGATAACTAAGGTAACACGATTGATTGTTATTTACCTGCAACAGGGTGAATAGCAAAACGCACTTTCTTTCCGCTTTCCTTTAGAAGATCCACTAACTCAGCGATAGGGTATTGCGCTTTCGCAACGCAAAGTCCATAGCCTGTGTCGAAATAATAATGTTAGTTTAGTAGTTCCTTTTAAAATACTTCAGAATTTCTATGCACCGTTTAAACTTAGGTTTTGACAGAGCATAAATTACCTGGTGTTATAATGATATTTGACGCGCGGTGGATAAGCTCAGCTACTGAGTCTACATTGAGTTCTGTGTGTGTCGCGTCGGTGGGTCGAGCTGATCCACCTGTCGTCACTCCATAACCACCCAAGATGACGTTGGGGAGAGATCTGTTCATTGCCTGTAAAAATGATTTACAAAGTTTTGTAGGCTCTGAGTTGGATCTACAACTAATCAAAGATGGACCTTTTTTTAAATTCCTTTACAATTATTTAACAGTTCAATGCGATATAACGCGAGATAACCACAGATCGTATTTATACACAATGATTAGCCATATTATATGACAGTTTGATGAGACAAATTTTAGAATTATTCAGGTTTTAATTTCTGATTTACTACTAGAAAAAGACTCACATTTCACAAGAAATATTTGAATCATCATCAGAAATATCTGATTCAATCATTTTTTATTATAATTAGGAGGGGAGAATTTTGTTATTAGAGTCGGGTGGCCTAAAAGTACGTATGAGAACATCACATGCCTATATTTATTATTTCTTATGACTTTAACAACACCCTAAATAACTGCTGTTTTGGTTACAAATAACGTACTGTAACTTTAGATTGATGTTGTGGCGGTAGCCATCATACAAACGCAAGATATTTGACAGATGCCTGAATTTAGCTTACGACATTTTCAAGATAAGCTTACATAATACATAATAATATGTATATTATACAAGTTCCGAACAACAACATTCGGATCATCGATTTACCGAGCAATATCACCCGCTCGGTGTAAGATCTTCCCTTTGTCATATACCTACAATGTATTTTCGATTCTTTGTTCCTTTTTATAGTTAAAAACTATTCAAGTTAGCGACGTATTATTGTAAGAAATTATGTCTATATTCTATACTATAAGCTAATTATATAAAAAATCAGAACTTACTTTGCACATTATGTACGACAAGATAGCACCAGAACTACCGATGAGCGCGCCGACTATAGTCATGAGCGAGTTGTTTAACATAAAACCTTCAGCGCACAGCGCCCACCCTGAGTAGCTATTCAATACCGTGATTACTACGGGCATGTCCGCACCTGTTCCGAAAAAATATGATTTTTGGTCATTTTAATCAATAATAATAAGTATGTATGCACATTAATTAAAAACAAAAATATTTTATTTCCCGCGTAATTTATGAATGACGTGGCAGTAGAGTGTGGCATAGACCGATGTTGAATATCAAACGAATATTAAAATTTGAACAATGGGGTACAATATTAACTTTTTTTTTCCTACCTAAAAGTAGCCTTGAGAGGTTATTTCAGCGTAACCTTAACTAGTAGGTGAGCTCACGGGGCTCAAACCTGACGACTTTGCTAACACGAACCCTAGAAAGAGCCGTGCTTCGCAGAATCTACCACCGGATCGGACACGCGACCCACTGAGAAGATCCGGCGAGAAACTCAGTGGGCTGTGTCTGTGGGTGGGTCGAACGATGACCGGAATATTAGCGTATTCAGTGCGTTTTCTATAGGTTACCTCCAATGGCGGCAGTAAGCGTGAGCCCCTGTATCCCGCTAAGCAGTGCAGCAGCGGACAGCAGCGGCAGGCCGGGCGCCTCGGGGAAGGCGAGCAGTGCTCCGCCGCAGCCCAGCGCGCCCGTCAGCAGAGCCGCGTTGATGGCGTGGCGACCCGGCAGCAGCAGCGGCGCCGACGACAACGAGCCTTGCAGCTTGCCGTACGCTACTAGCGAGCCCCTGCAAGTTTCAACACGAGCTTTAACAACTTACTGGTGGTAGGACCTCTTGTGAGTCCGCGCGGGTAGGTACCACCACCCTGCCGATTTCTGCCGGGAAGCAGTAATGCGTTTCGGTTTGAAGGGTGGGGCAGCCATTGTAACTATACTTGAGACCTTAGAACTTATATCTCAAGGTGAGTGGCGCATTTACGTTGTAGATGACTATGGGCTCCAGTAACCGCTTAACACCAGGTGGGCTGTGAGCCCGTCCACCCGTGTAAACAATAAAAAAAAAAAAACCTTTTTTACGTGCTGAGTGAAAGCAACGCATAAAATTCAGTTATAGAAGACTATTCATCTAATATATCAATGAATGTGTCCCAATGAAAAGCCGGTATTTTTTTTTTAATTTGGAGGCTCAGCTAAGCGCAAGGAGTAAAGGCATGCTACGAAAATTATTCGAAAATATTATACGTATGTACATACAAATCGACAGTCCTTACGTACAAAGCGTCATGTCAAAATTGACATTTTTTTTTTAAATTTACAGCTTTATGTTGCCCTCATCATCATTCATCTATAAATGAGTCGTCTATTATCAAAGGTAGCAATCTGTGCATTTGGACAAATTTTTTTTATTGATATGTCAATTCAGATTGATTTGAATATAATCGTCTCCTTCAAAGAATACGGTTCAAAACCTGCATTAAATAAAGGTTAATAGTTAACCTGTTATTTATCTAAGATGTCGTTCCGAAGAGTTTTGTGACTGCCAATGGAATACAAAGTCAATAATTCGTTTTTCTGATTTACCAATCATTGTCCAAAAGTCAGATTGCCGCCTTTGATAATAGTCGACTCATATATGAGTCGTCTATTATCAAAGGTGGCAATCTGTGCATTTGGACAAAAAAATTTTATTGATATGTCAATACAGATTGATTTGAATATAATCGTCTCCTTCAAAGAATACGGTTCAAAACCTGCATTAAATAAAGGTTAATAGTTAACCTGTTATTTATCTAAGATGTCGTTCCGAAGAGTTTTGTGACTGCCAATGGAATACAAAGTCAATAATTCGTTTTTCTGATTTACCAATCATTGTCCAAAAGTCAGATTGCCGGCTTTGATAATAGTCGACTCAAATGTAAGTTATTTTTTAATTATAATGATTATTATTATTATTACTTTCATACTGTAATGATATAAGAGAACAATGTTTCAAAGAATTAGTGTCTTCGCTTTGGACGTAGGGATCGTCGAAATATATTACAAATATATTAAATCATATTATTTACACGAATTTAAATATTTGTGTGAACCAGATCAGTATTTCAGTAAACTTGTTAGTGTTCTCTGGCATTGATGAGCTGACCTGGTTACGCCCACGGATCCTATCCTTCTACTGCACTACAACTGTCGAAAGAAGGAATACTATTAAATAATTCAGATTCATAGAGCAAACACACCTACAAAACAAATTTTATTTGTCTTTGCATGAATAGAATAAGTTGTACTTACGTGAATGTTATGCCACCGATGTATGTCCCAAGGAACAACGAAGTCTTGAGTGTGGCTGCCGTAGGATCCAAGGCCATTGCGGGGAAGTCGTGCATGTATGTAGCGATGCAGGTTAGGACTGCTGCCATACCTACCAAACTGAAAAGATATCGTGATTTTATTTAGTGCTTTAAACAATTGCTGATATATAATTAAAATTACTTGTATATTACGTGGTCATTACATTAAGTCCGACGTTTCAAATACTTGACAGTTTTCGTGATCACGGACGACGAAAAAAACGACGTAAAAGTAGTTTTGTAATAGTTATGACTACGACTCGCAAAAACCGAGGGAAAGTACTAATACGATTTTAATTGATTCTTCTTTTTTTTCAGGTAATTTTAGTGTATGTTATTTTAGTATTGTTATGTCAAAAATGTTGTTGTTATTTACCTGTGGAAACCAGCCACGAGTTGGGGTAGGTCTGTAATCTCTATTTTCTTAGCAATAGTGCTTCCAATTAAACCTCCAATGCCAGCTACGCCTATCATTTGCGCCAGCACTTCAGCACTTGGAGTCAAAGCTCCAAGAGTGGCTGCGATACCACCAGTGACACCGATCTAAACAAGTTCATTTCTTAAATATAATTGCCAAAGGTTAATTTATTTTTTATTTTAATGTAGGTTGCAACCTCATATTACTAAAGTGTCATCAACATTTTTTGTGGAGAGCTGAACCCAAGTTGCCACGTTGGATTGATTTTGTGCAATGAATACATGAGTTCAGACTTTAAAACCCATGTTTATGAACAATATTGTAAATATTTTGCTGAAATCAACGAATATGCTACATCTATTCCTTAAAACACACCTATACTTTAATTAATTTAATAAACTTAATCAAATATCCCAAGAAATATAATTAAAAAAAAAAATGGTTTTTAAATATTTATAATAATAATAATCTAAGCAGTACTTTGAAAATAAACTATAGAATAGACATCGTAAAAGTCCGGCCGAACAATTACGAATACTATTTATAGCCTATTCTCACAGTTATAGTGAGATGCAGAATATTCGTTGTCTATTCATTACTGTCTCATTGGCTTTACAATGATCAAAAGATTAAAACTAATGTCATCAAGATTACAATGAGCGGGTCTTGGATCGAGTCTAAAGCTGCATCCACGAATGATGTTTTATTATGTATGCCTTTTCTAATCATTGGTTGCATTGTATTTTTTAAATATTTATTTCGTTAGTTTTACTAATTAATACATACTATTCCCAAATAGTTTCCTTTTCGTGCCGTTGTCTGAGAGCTGAGTCCCGCAAGAGCTCCAACACAACACAAAGATGAAGCAAGATAAGCCATTTGGTGTACCTCTGGATATCCCTGCAAGATTAAGATGTCATGAATAAAAATAATTTTAGAGTTAATGGGTTTTTTTATTGGTTCTATAATTTTTCACACTTTTATTTTCTTAGTCTTGGATCACTGATAGTTTCTAACTATTTCATCATATACGATTTCGAAAACGAACCAAAAAAAATATTGTGGTCTAAGTTTATATTATTATATTTAAAAGTTTTTTTAAAAGCACTATTTGAGTCGTCTATTATCAAAGGCGGCAATCTGTACATTTGGACAAAAAAAATTTATTGATATGTCAATACAGATTTATTTGAATATAATCGTCTCCTTCAAAGAATACGGTTCAAAACCTGCATTAAATAAAGGTTAATAGTTAACCTGTTATTTATCTAAGATGTCGTTCCGAAGAGTTTTGTGACTGCCAATGGAATACAAAGNAATCGTCTCCTTCAAAGAATACGGTTCAAAACCTGCATTAAATAAAGGTTAATAGTTAACCTGTTATTTATCTAAGATGTCGTTCCGAAGAGTTTTGTGACTGCCAATGGAATACAAAGTCAATAATTCGTTTTTCTGATTTACCAATCATTGTCCAAAAGTCAGATTGCCGCCTTTGATAATAGTCGACTCATTTATAGTATTATTAACCTGCATGGCGGTAGTGATGTAGCCGCCGAGCAGCGCAGCGGCAGGAATTGCATAGAGATAACCATATTCCGGTGGATCACCAGGTCTGCATGACAGAATTCAATTATGGTAAACCATATTATTATAGCCATTGGTCCAATGATCGGCAGTCTGATTTCAGCATATAAGAGTTTATTTCCAAAATAACTTTATATCAGACTATCTTATTTTATATCAGACTATCCTATTTTATATATCAGACTATCTTATATTATAACATTACATTGTTGATAAAACGGTGGCGATTACAGCAATGAAAAAAATCTGTTTTTATAAAATTAACATTTTATTAAATTTAGTATTTCTTTAACTTATTTGTTATTGCAGAGGCGAGTGAACGAGTTCACGGCCCACCTAGTGTTAAGTGATTGCAGGGGCCCATAGACATCACAACGTGATTGTCGCAACTCACCTTTAGACACGAGGTCAATCTAAGTTATGCATAAAATATATTGCTTTGTATATTTTATTATTATTTTACATGAATTTTAATATACTATTAAAATTATCTTTCATTTTTCTTTGAATATCAACTTTAGTACAGGTGATTATTGTAATAGAAAAATAAAGTAAATAATATAGTTAATAATAATATAGTTTACAGCAAATCCTTTACAGTTTGTTTTACATATACTTTTAATGAAAACTCGCTCTTCTGTAATGTTCTGTAATGTGTAATATGTAGTATTTGTTAACAGTCCTAGAGGCGAAATATATTATTTGAGAAGTTTTCTTTTACCTTTTGAACATATCAAGCATCCGTTGCGTAACCAAGAATCCTCCAAATACATTCACGAAAGATATTAAAGCTGCAGTACCCGCCAACCACTATGAAAAAAAAAAGTATAGGTAAGCTTTTCGTGTTTTCATTTATTTACACACACACATAACATAGGGGAAATTTGTTTTAATTTTAATATTAAGTAACTATAATAGTTTCGTTCCTTTCAGTTCGCGCATTTTCTTTGATTTGGTTCAAAAGTATAGTTCCATTGCATGCAATATAAAAACTTTGGAAAACATATCCTCCTTCTTGCGTCGACAATCCTCAATGCTGAGGGTCGTGGCCTCAAAATATATATGTAGTTTTTTTAGTTGTTTTAGTACTAATCGAAACATCGTGAGTTACCTGAACGGGCGTCTCCGGAACATATCCTCCGCCCATTAGGAGTAGTCCACCGACGGCCGTGATACCCGACACGGCGTTTGTAACGGACATGAGCGGCGAGTGAAGCGCTGGCACGACGCCCCACACAGTGTGGTACCCGACCACACCTGATGGACGAAAACATTCTTTAACGTAACGCGCTCACAGTACAGAGACAGGCAGAGGAACACAAGTGTGTTCACGAGTACTCAGTTTTTTTTTATTGCTTAGATGGGTGGACGAGCTCACAGCCCACCTGGTGTTGAGTGGTTACTGGAGCCCATAGACATCTACAATGTAAATGCGCAACCCACCTTGAGATATAAGTTCTAAGGTCTCAAGTATAGTTACAACGGCTGCCCCGCCCTTCAAACCGAAACGCATTACTGCTTCACGGCAGAAATAGGCAGAGTGGTGGTACCTACCCGCGCGAACTCACAAAAGGTCCTACCACCAGTAAACTGACACTTTGTTCTTAATATATGTAAATTTTTAAAAGCAATTGCGTTGCTTGTGTTAGAATCCTAGTGAATAGTTTTATTATTAAAAAATAATTTACCTGACAACGCTAGCGTAGTGGTCATTGTTGTGAACGCCGGATTCGGCGCAGCTATACCCAAACCGATCAACGACGCCATACCTGTACAAATTAAATGTTTAAGACTCCAACTTAGAGATCCACAAACATGTTTATCGATGACGTCCTTTTTTTGTCTTGCTTTATCTCATTTGCCTAACATATAAATGTATACCATAATAAATCTTTCGATTAAATTACAAGCACTCACAACTAATTGGTGTAATGTTATTAACTAGACAGATGTAAATAACTTTCCTTATTCCTTCGAACCAATGTCAAAATTTAGTTTATACCTGTTGAGTACAAAAAGGCATCCTTCAGAGTGTCTTTAAATGGGTTCGGTGGTTCAGGTTGTACGGCTGTCGGTTTGGGCGCGGCGTGTGCGGGCGCCATGCTGGGCGGCGGCGGGGGCGGCCACAGCAGCTCACCGGCTTTCAGGACAATCGCGCCGCGCGTCACTTCGTCCTCCAGGTTGATATCAAAATGATCATTGGTACCTAATCAAATTCATAATGTCATATATCAAAATTATAATTTGCGTAATTACTGGTGGTAGGACCTCTTGTGAGTCCACACGGGTGGGTACCACCGCCCTGCCTATTTCGGCCGTGAAGCAGTAATGCGTTTCGGTTTGAAGGGTGGGGCAGCCGTTGTAACTATACAGAGACCTTAGAACTCATATGTCAAGGTGGGTGGCGGCATTTATGTTGTAGATGTCTATGGGCTCCAGTAACCACTTAACACCAGGTGGGCTGTGAAATCGTCCACCCATCTAAGCAATAAAAAAATATAAAAAACCTATTATACAGAACACGACTGGCGATGAACATCGCCGACGTTACCCACGTATTCAGGGGTTTACGCGGTTGGGTGAGCCATCCTAAGGTCTTGACTGCGGGTGGGTCACAGCGCCGCGATACTATTATATTTTAATAGTTCTAACAGTGAGGAATAACTGAAATTTTCCCTCGGCATTAAGCTTAATTAATGTTATCTCAAGCATCTCATGATGACATAAGAAATTGTAGCCTTTCGAGATTCTCAGAAGTAACTCGGAGACGAACAGTGCTATGACAATAATAAATAAAAATAGAAATATAATTCTGAAAGGATTGCATATTTAACTAATATAATTATTATCAGGCATAGTCTGTATTAGTCATATCCTGTCTTGTTTTTCGAGAACGATTCTCTCATATAAAATAAAGATATCAGTTTTTATTGCTCTTTCAGATATACAAAAGTGTTGCCCATGAACGAGGGCTACAGCCATGGCGGTTAGGACTCTTTTCGAATCCTTTTAGTTTCTATAATATTGATCCATCGTAACTCCAATATGATCGATTGAGAAATGATTAGGTATATTAAGAAAACTGTTAAGGAACGTTTTTATGGCTAATGTTCATTGTGTAAATATACCAAATAGGCACAAAAGTAGGAATTTTTAATTTTTATATAAAATTGTTAACTGTTTTTAAAAGACAAAGAACTCAAAATGGGTAATAATAATGAAAATAAAATTGTTTTTTTTTAAATAAAAAGTGTACAAACTGCTTTATGCCATTCTTAATTTTATTCCTTGTAGCTTTAATGGTCTGTCCGAAATCAAATGTTCGTACAGAAACATTTATTTGTAAGAGAGCGCGCTAATGCGATAAAGCACTCACCCAAGCTCAACAGAAATCCTGATATATTATTAGCATACAACGTAGAAGCGTGGGCGGGCATGCGGCTCGGCAGGTCGGTGAGGCCGATATGAGTGACGCCGTGAACTTTAGTGATCTCCCCTTTCTTCGTGGTCTGAATGTTGCCCCCCATTTCAGCTGCCAAGTCTACTATGACGCTACCAGGTGCCATGTCTCGAACCGCATCCTACAATATGACATGGTTTTAATTGTAATAACAATGAAACTGATCAGCATGTATTTTACTTTCATTATTTTTCTACAGCTGTTCACACATTTATTAAAAGTATGATATAATACTTATATAATATATTAAAAATAAAAAAAACATTTGCTTTATTTATTATCCTATGCTATGCTGATAGCCTTGACGCTATTTTTTTTTTATTGCCCTTGTAGGCAGACGAGCATACGGCCCACCTGATGGTGAGCGGTTTACCGTCGCCCATGGACTTCAGCAATGCCAGGGGCAGAGCCAAGCCGCTGCCTACCGTAAAATATATCGGCTATATCAGCGTTTCCCTAGCGTGTAGGTGAGCTCTCGGGGCTCAAACCAGAGGTGTTGCTAACATTGGCCCTAGCAAGAGCAGTGCTTCGCAGAATCTACCACCGAATCGGAAACGCAACCCACTGAGAAGATCCGGCGAGAAACTCAATGGGCTGTGTCTATGGGTTAATTTACGGACGGTGACCGATGCTTGTGGTAGCTACCTAAAAGCACCGTTAATGAATAGGGAGGATCCGTAATGACGTGACATTTGCAAGGTAACACGTAAAATTGAATTTGTACCATAGGATTTATTTATCAAGGTCACAATTTAATGTAACAAGTCAAATACCGAGATGTTGTACAAATATGTTCTTTGGTTATTATTTGTTTGCGTGCACGTTCAATTAGGCTACGACTTCGTTGTCTTCTGTTTTCATAACGAACTAAGTGGTTTTTTCTCAAACTGTGGTTCTCAAAATGTGTTTTTTTTTAATTAGTTGCAAGAATCGATAGTGAATATATTTTTAGCGATACAAGAACGACGATACAAGGTCAACGATCGCGGTACGTAGTCGATAACCGGATGAACCCATTTTTATTGCATCCATATATTCCAATATAAACGAAAATACGTCGAGCTGCCGAAGATAACGCGTAGACCGAAAGTTGAACAATCTCGCGTGCCGTAAATCAACTCGTGGCGTTTCCATTTCATATCAAGTAGGCGGGTTTTGCAATCGAAATTTACCTATGTGGATTATTACAATTTACAATGTCTGTACTTTTAAAATTTTATTACTGTGTAAATTATTTTTTTGTTAAATCATAATATTTTAGTGTCGAAAAGATAGTTTATTTTTTCTTAAAAACAAAAGTACCGACTTAATCTTAACTAATCAACTGCCATTTTTTATTACTTAAGTACACTGTTATTCTGTTTGTTTTATAATACATTACTTGCGTTAAATAAATGATGACGCTATGGAGCTGCAGATCTAGAAGGCATTTCCACTTTGGGTTATATAATAATATTACCTATTACCTATCAGCTTTACACTTTTACTGGTGGTAGGACCTCTTGTGAGTCCGCACGGATAGGTACCACCACCCCGCCTATTTCTGCCGTGAAGCGGTAATACGTTTCAGTTCGAAGGGCGGGGTAGCCGTTGTAATTATACTGAAACCTTAGAACTTATATCTCAAGGTGGGTGGTGCATATACGGTGTAGATATCTACGGGCTCCAGTAACCACTTAACACTAGGTAGGCTGTGAGTTCGTCCACCCATCTAAGCAATAAATAAAAAATCCAAGTTCATCATGAATTTAGTTGTGACCGATTCTGTAATATTTAGGGTTAATTACCTCTAAAATTAGTAAAGGTGCAGGTTTCCCAGGTATAAGCGCTGTACTTATCACAACGTCAGAAGATCTCGTTTCTTTTCCCAGCAAAGCTCGTTCAGCATTTAGGAAGTCTTCACTCATCTCTTTTGCGTACCCACCTTCGCCGGCTCCCTCTTCCTAAAGAAGATGCTGTGTTAATGTAAATTTAGAAAAAAATCTAACTAAAACTATGCAATGCCCGACTATTTCTTAATAAAGTTTCTACAAATCTAATGTTACTTTTAATTGTCTTAATAGAAAATCGGAAGCACATTCCGTATTTTAAAAACTAAATAATGTAAACTATTATATACATATTCAATCAGTTTCTCGAGAGTCCTAGATATAACGACAAACGACTTTTACGATTTAATCTCTCGTTTATTAATTCTGAAGTTTCGAATGCTATACAATCTCTTCGAAATAAAAGTAACTGTCAATAAATTATATTGTTATACAAAATTTGACGGTAGTTAGAGCATTATTCAAATCTCGACGAATAACCCCTTAATATTTTATTTTATTTATTTATTTAGACACACCAACAGCAATACACACAAAACATTCAAGCTTAAAATTAACATGTATAAAATTAAGTACTGGTATGTAAGGTATGATCATGAAACTTGTAAAGAATTCGAAATGTCAGAAGCGAAAATTATAAACGTGAGATTAAACCGTATAGCGTAATACCGTTAAGTTGTAATTGTATATTTTTAATTAAAGTGCACCTTTTTAAATTATGATTCCTTGCGAATTTCAAAAGCGCTGTTATAATCCAATAAACTCTCACAGTACTGTTCATTGAATATCGTCGTATACCTTGACAATACCGCCCAAGTCAAATATGAATATATTGAAAAGCGTTTGTAGCGTATCGTATACTTATGGAGGCATCGTAATAATGCACAAAACTAGTAAAAGTTGTTCTGGGTTTTTTTTTGTCACTATTAAAAACGAAGCAAAATTCACGCACGCAGTATTATTAGCTAAACGAAAATAAAAACAACAGAATTTAGAATTTACATTTAGACAAGACAATATAATTTAGAATTTACATTTTATTTCACTAATAGAATCCTGTCACGTTTTCGGAGACGGTCTCCCTAAAGTTTTATGCAATACTAGAATTTGTTGACATTGAACACCAGTCGTACGCTACAAAAAATCAGTTGCTGAAGTACCAGTAACTATCAAGTTTTTGGGCCAAATGACGCGATAACGAATAAAGAAACGAGGCCACAATTGTAGCTTTGGTCTGGACTTTTGGTTATTAGACATGAAGCGGTTACTGTCATCATAATGATATATAACATGTTTAATAAACAAAACGTTTAAGTGTAATTCTTACACCATACGTTTTTCACATTGTCTCAGTTTCCTCAACTTTTTATCACGAGCTCTCAACTTTCGATGATGATAAGTTAGTATCATTAAAAGTTATAAAAAGCGTTCGTGATCTAATAGATAACATTGGCGGTGTAAACTTATTAGGTAATAATATTACGTCGGGATTCCAACCTTGTACCTTGCGAACCCATATTCAGTATCGATTATTTACGATTAGGGACTAACAACCTAGAATAAAAATTAAATCCGCAAAATTATGTATTAAATAAATTATTGTATATTGTAGTAAATAAGGGCTTCCCGACGCACCTTGTAGAATAGAATATGCCTACCTACTCAGAATACGATCTACCATTAGTAAAAAATGTTTGTTTTTTTCTATAAAAAAAAATCCTACCGTCGTTGGTAGACTAAGAGGCTATTCCAACTTCACGCGGACCAGTAGGTGAGCTCATGGGCTCAACCTGAGATTGCTAAGACTAGCCCTAGCAAGAGCAGTACTTCACTGAATCTACTACCGGAGTTGAGCCCACTGAGTTTCTGGCCGCATCTTCTCAGTGGGTTGCGTTTCCGACCCGGTGGTAGATTCTGCGAAGAACAGCTCTTGCTAGGGTTGGTGTTAGCAACAACGTCAGGTTTGAGCCCCGTGAGCTCACCTACTCGCCAGGTTACGCTGACATAGCTTCTCAAGGCTATCAGCTTAGGTAGGAAAAAATCTACTAGATGGGAATCGCGCCCCACTGAGATCGGAGAGAAACTCAGTGGGTTGTGTCTATGGGCTAGTTCGCGGACTGTGAACGGATTTCTACATCTTTAGTCCTAAATCGAAAATACGATATGAAGATAAACTATTAAGGTTACGGTCGACTTGGACCTCATGACATATGGTAGTATTACGCAAGGTGGCGCTACGCACGTTGTAATGGTTTTAATCTCTGGTAGCGACATAGCATCATGACGTGGAGTCTATACGTTTTTGCAAGGCAACTAAAGCAAATTACATACAGATTAAAAGGAAAAAAAAAACAGTGTGACATTAATAATTAACAAACATTTACAATTATTATCATGACATTGAAATGTTAAATTAAATATATTTACTACACGTTTTTTTAATGCTAAATTTACTAAAAGTTAATGCCCAAGCAAAGACAAAACATTTATGCGGTGAGATAATTAAAAGAATAAAAAGGGTAAACATGATAAAATTATAGAAAGAAAAACATTCACGATAAGTTTACAAGCAAATTTTACATAATGAGGTGAACTATTACGAGGCATTGCACACTGCGTACGATTGCATAAATCATTAACGCAGATAATACGAACGAAAAACATTAAACAACAAATTGTTATGACACAGTTTCAATGTGAAATAAGGATTGTCTTGTACTAAGACAGTTTGGCATTTAGAAAACTGTAACAAGTTTATCGAAATTGTTATGTTATTTTCAATAATATTTTTACAATTGTATGTATGTTTATTGTTCGTAAATGTTGCGAATCCTCTCAACTACTACTATCCATGACTTTTACCCTGAAGAAGTCAAACCATCTTGCGGAATTTCCGTCGGGACGGCCGTTAAATAACACAACTGAGAATTAGATTTGATGTCTCAATGTAGCGTCATTCACTTTGTGATGCCTATCGGTCCCATTAATAACACAACATACCGTGGACTGTTAATTGATCGCCAATCAAGAGAAACAAATAAAAAGATTAAAAAACGTTTAGTCAAATAAAATTATAATACAGGTAACCCTCCTATAACACGGTTTTTTACAACACGGTTCCTAACACGAAAAGAAAAAACCCTCAAAACCCTGAAAAAACCCTCAAAGCCCTGCAAAAACCCTCAAAACCCTGCTTATTTTTTATGTATAATAGATATAAAAATACATACAGACATGGTTGAGATGTTTCAGTCAGAAAAATTACTCTCCTTTTTGTACTGTCTTCTAGTATCATATGACACGGTTTCGCACAACAAGGGACTTTCTAGGTACGTATCTACCGCGATAAAGAAGAGTTACCTGTATTTCTAATTTATACTAAAGACAGTTTTCCATATACCATATAAACATGGAACAAGGGAATAACAATAACAGAACTACTTCTACAAGTTGTTATAACAAATTTACCATTGGCGATAGCAGCCAAAGGCAGGATGGTCGCTGCACCCCAACCACTAGGGATTAGGGTACACCGACCTCTGAAAAATAAATACGTTTTAAAAGCATCGGTAACAGCCAGAGTTAGATTTCATTTTGTATTCAACTATTTTAATGGTCCAATATTTTTAAGTAAGCAATCATTTTATGATCACGCAATAAAATCTAACCATAGTTGTGTGACACCGAAACGGGCGACAGAATACAATACGTGTAACCGTAACCAAATAAGAGTCATGTGTGAATAGAACATTTCATCAAATAGATCGTGTAACAAACAATCCAATGTAGTCAAACAAAACTATTACGACGCATTAGTAGGTACAGCTCATTGACTCGAAATGGGGCACACATTAATTATTGTAAACATTAATTTGTATCATATGAAGCACAATATGGGATCATGTTAACATTTAATATTTTTATTGATTTTCTGATTCTGAATGTTTTGTTTTTAATTGATTCATTTGAAAATAATAATTGAATAGTAATTCGTATCATGACTAAAAAAGAAATCGAACTTGTTTTTAGAAGTTTAAAATCCTAACTACATTAGTACTATTATAATCATTGAATAATTTTGTATTTGTTCAATGTGTAAAAAGGGAACAGAGGACTTTAAGGAAGTAGCTAATCTTTTGAAAGTTTTTTTTTTTTTAATTGAACTTCGGTTAAGCTGCAATAAAACGAGATTTATAAATAATACATTTGTTCTAAGTTAATGCGTTTTATGGACTGACCTTCATTTCCATGGTAATGAATTGGGCTCCGAGACTTTCGATTTGCTCACGAACGGCGGGACGCGTGTCGAAGGCCCGCACGGCGGCCCCCATGCACCGGGCCTGCGCTGCGGCCGCCAGTCCGGCCACGCCCCCGCCCACTACCAGCACACGACATGGAGGCACACGACCAGCCGCCGTCATTTGTCCTGTCATAGGAAACATCCCGGTCATCGTTCTCGTCGAACCCGTCGCTTGCGACGAAGGGCTTGGCGAGCAAACTAACACTAAACATACCATAGCGCAGCGGTCGGTGAACTTTTTTAATTATTACTCCAAAATATTTTTGTGTAAGTTGATATTACCCTATGGCGAAGAACAAAAAAAAACAAAATCGCTTCTTTTTAGCATCTTTCATATTATAGCCTCCATGATAATTTGAACTCACAACGATTCTAAAGAAGTTTCACTTCAATTATACTCTTTACTCACAAAACTTTCATTTTTACCCCCCAAAATTTCATTTTACCTCATTTGGGGTAATTTACCCCGGTTCCCCGACTGCTGCCATAGCGGGTCAAATGACCCATTTTGAAATTTCGCATTGAAAACACAAGTATCATCCTATTGCTTTTGCACATTTGACTACATGACATTTTCTTATCAATTAAATTACAGTTATTATCCTTTTTTTAGTTTGTTTTTTTGCTTACTTGTCGTATACCGTTATGATAGAAATAGGTACCAGTACGTGTTGGCATGATTAGTGTTAATCCACACACAGACACAGCCCACTGAGTTTTTTCGCCCGATCTTCTCAGTGGGTCGCGTTTCCGATCCGGTGGGTAGATTCTGCGAAGTACTGCTCTAGCTAGGGTTAGCGTTCGCAACGTCGTCCGGTTTGAGCCCCGTGAATTCACCTACTAATTCGGCGAATCTAGTAAAACCCCTCGAGGTTACTAGAATTGGTAGGAAAAAACAAGAAACCTATTTTCATATTTAAAGTTAGGCTTAAAAAATTTCAACCTAGAATTCGTGGTCGTTCCAAAGCCGTTAGCCACACTACATTAGATTCTCCCATTAAAACATGACATTATCTTTAAAAATAAAAATAAACTTGAGTTTTGTAATTTTGTTGTAAAATCTTCAAGAACACTAAGACGGCTGAAACTATAAGTAAAATTTTCATCAAATAATTTGTTAGTAGCACAGGTAAAATTGCCTTACCGGAAAAGAAACGTGGGAAATGAGCGGCAGCTTCAATAACGGCACGATAACCAGCAACATTTGCCATTGAACTAAGAGCATCAAATGCCTGTGCGCGACTTATACGGGGAATGCAGTCCATAGCTAAAACACAAAATAAAATTAAGCTCTGTCAATGTAAATATTCTGTCATTTGGTAAAACCGCAGACTGCAGCTTTTTTTTTTTATTGACAATTTGGTCTTGGTTTACTTTACTGTGAATTTTTTTATGACTTAAACGGATGAACGAGCTCATGGCCCACCTCGTGCTAAGTGGTTACCAGAGCCCACAGACATCAGCAACGCAAATTTCATTGAGATACAAGTTCGAAGTCTCCGTTTTATAGTACAACGGCTGCACCACCCTTCAAAGGGGAACACATTATGGTTTCGCTATAGAAATAAGCAGGGTGGTGGTACCTATGGGCTTACAAGACGCCCCGGCCAACAGTGATGATGCAAATTATAATTTTTTGCAGGTCTGATTATTATTACACGATAGTTGATTATTGATTGATTATTATATTATTAGTCAATTGTTATTACATTATATGAGTCGTCTATTATCAAAGGTGGCAATCTGTGCATTTGGACAAAAAAATGTTATTGATATGTCAATACAGATTGATTGGAATACAATCGTCTCCTTCAAAGAATACGGTTCAAAACCTGCATTAAATAAAGTATTAACTTAACCTGTTATTTATCTAAGATGTCGTTCAGAAGAGTTTTGTGACTGCCAATGGAATACAAAGTCAATAATTCGTTTTTCTGATTTACCAATAATTGTCCAAAAGTCACATTGCCGGCTTTGATAATAGTCGACTCATATAAGTAATTCACATCACTTGAAATGAATACACCCAAGTGTTTTATCCTTTGAGTCATGATGACTTCAATTTGAGGCATTAATGTGTTTCCTTTTCTTTCAAATTGATTGATAAATAAAAATTTGTTTTCTTGAATAAAATTCATAACTTACCAAATGCATTCATCTTTCTTTCAGAAAGCTTTTTTATTAAATCTTGATTTTGAGCAGGATAGAGGAAAGATATCAATGTTCCTTCATTCCTTACATTTTGTATTTCATTATCTAGGAGTGGACGAACTTTCAAAACTATATCTGTAATTATTATTATTAATGAGCATAAGTGTTACTTATTCAAATCCTATTAAATTTAATTTGAAGAAGATTATTTCTGTATAAACAATTTACAGTAAAATTAATTACCAGATTGGAATGTAGTTTTTAAGTTTGTAATTTTCGCTCCAGCCTCTTCAAAAGTCTTATTGGGAAAATTAGCTACAGCACCTGCATCTTCTTCAATATTGACATTAAAGCCTTTTTTTACTAATTTACTGACTACAGCTGGTACTACTGCAACCCTAGAAATGAAGTACTATCAACGTTGAAAACAACTTATTGAAGTCACTAGGTATTGTTATCATTGTTAAATAGCTACTAACTGTAAGCATAAAATTTTGTTCTCTCTGTAATATGAACTATTTCACTGTTTCAGAACATTGACTTTTAATGCGTAATTATAAAAAAAGAAATGGTGTATTATGGATTAGTTTTAAGACAAACCTTCTTTCATCTTGCCAAATCTCTTTTGGCACTCCTATGCTTAGTTTGGTGTAAGAAACTCCTGAGGTTGACGGAGGCGTAGCTGAAGAGCTACTTGACAGTCTGCATTGCCATGATCTTGGTAATTGTTTATATGCACGAAGCATTCTTGAGGATCCGCACATTTTGGGAATGTTTTACTGAAGACAATTTTAAAATGATAACAATGTATAAAAGAACTGCTTACTCTATTTGGTTAGACTTGCTTATTTCAGACATTAAATTAAAGATAACAAATAAAAATGTTTCTAATTTAATGCAATATTTAATATGCACAGGTGTACAGCATAAGTATCTTTTTGAAGATGTTTTATAGATTAGCTACCTACTCTTTAAAAAACAATGTTTCTAAGCAGTAAATTTTTTTAAGGTTCAATTTTAAGAATAATAATGTATATAATGTATAATGCTACATGCGTTTTCTGTACATGTGAAAAATTCTTATATGACATTATTGTTCAATAAAGAGGAAAAGAAAGGATTGAAGTTGTATGATTTTAAAAACAGTAAAGATGCAGCATGAACAATAATAATTAATTTGAATTATTATTTAAAGTTTTCATTGTATACTAACAATTTTTTCTATCAATGTGGGTTAGTAACTATTAAAACCTAACGAAATTTCCAACAAGCCTAAACAAGTTGCTAGTTGTTTAATTAGTAGTTAGACGGGTTAAAACTAGAAAAATAACGCCACGCGGACCGAAATTTCATCCGAATTTGTAGTATGACAAAAATAGTGCCCATTCTGTGTCAAGATACGCGCTGTATTGTAATTAATACAGAAATCTGAAATTTCAACTGAAGCAGGCATTGCTAGTAGAGCTTGTTTTCAGTAACTCGATGAGAATAACTTATGGCTCAAAACACAACCAGTCTCAACTATAAAATTATTTAAAATAATTAAATATTTTTTAAATAATTTCATTCACTTACCTAATATTTAAACAACTGTAGCCCTGTTGGGGCGTTTACTGCAAGGAGTTCTAAATATCTTTCATTTAATTATAAACACAATTCTAATTTAGCTAGGTCGTTGTCGCCGAGCTCGCCGAACGAATTTTAGTTTTTACAAAGACGAGTTACAACGCGCATTTCAACTGGATCAACCGGCAACGGGCGAGTACAAGTCACAGAGTTCACAGACTATACCTAATATACAGTGTATGTATATTCGTATCGAGTACCTATCTTGGAGTCGTTCATAATGGCTGAAATTTTTAATTTGTTAAATAGTTTTGTATTTCTCTATTAAAACACTCAATATTCTTTAGGTTTTATTACATATATAGATATTGTTTAGTTGTTGAAGGTTTCAAGATTAAATTTTCCTTAATATCTTAACATGCTTAAGACTTTCTGGCATTAGCACAATATCCTAATAATAATTAAACACGTATTCAATACCGTCGATATTATTTCTGAACTTTGTAAATTAATCTTAACACATCAAAGTCCATATGTAGCATTTTTATTGCTTGCGAACGCAGATGGGTGTCATTGCCCATATATGAAGCTATGTAATCACCATTACTAAGGTGGTCAACAATAGCAACTCAGCATCGAACTAATGTTTACCATTTCAACCTAAAAGCACTGTGTATATAGACAGCGTATTTAAAAACGAGAATTTTAGTACCTATTTTCCGACTATACTGTAAACTGCAAAGTGCTATATCATGTTTGTCTTCCAATCAGCTTTTAGAAGAGTTATCAGCGTTAGGTAGCATCTTAATGGCAATATGATGTCAATCAAGAACGACTGAAAATATGAAGACAGAAATACGCATCCGCACGGGTGTGTATCATCACTATTCACCATTCGCCTACTTCTGCCGTTAAGCTGTAATGCGTTTCGATTTGAAGGGTGGGGCAGCCGTATTACTGTAAAAACTGAGAAATCTTGTCTTAAGACTGACGGCAATATTAATGTGGATGATGTCTATGGGCTTCGATGAACATTTAACACGAGGTGGGCCATGAGCTGGCCCATGCATCTCAGCAATAAAAAAAAACATTGTAATTATCACGATAGAAATAGTTGTTGAATACGTGTTCGTAAATACTTATTAGTGTTCTCTGACTTCGGGATTTGAGCCCTAGCGGAAATTTATCACTGAATTTGTCTAACGGTAGTTTAATAAATTAATAAATTCACAGTTACAAACACTGAAGTATGAAACCTAGCTACAAAAGCAAAATCCTGTCAACTGTCAAAAAATGTTAATCTGTCAAAGTCAAACAAATCCTACTAAGTTCCACGACCGTTCTCGGCGTGTAATTTAAGCGTATTGTTCACTAAAAAAATCATATTATTATTAGCTTTGCAAGCGCGAGAACTCGTCGTAGATCCACGTAATCACGAGCAGTGGTGAATACACGAACAATATCGAAACATGGCTAATACTAGTACAACAAAAATTCTAAAGTGTGTAAACCAGTTTGCATCACTGACTAGAAACTGTAAGTTTTAAGTCAATTTGAACTCTGTGGTTAGATAATAACCAAATAGTATTTGAGAAGCCGGTCTTTATCGTTATAGTAAAATTGCATTATTTGCTACTTTAATAATGTAACGGTTAGCATTTCCTCGGCTCTTTTATTATGTTGATATAAAATAAAAATATAAAGGTATAACCATCATCAGTCAGGTTTGAGCCCCGTGAGCTCACCTACTAGTTAAGGTACCATGAAGTGGTCTCTCAAGACCAAGAGCTTAAGTAGGAAAAAAATATTATCATCAGTTCACACATGTCTACTACAGGACATAGACCTCCCACAAGTTTCACTATAATGACTACAAATGGTATATTAAATGAGCACAAAATGTTAGTTTTGCTTAAATAAAATTTTTTAAAGTTAGTCTAAGGTAATTCTAGTTTTTTTTAACAGTAAACAAGATTAAAAAAAAAGTTTTAATATATTGTTCTGTGTCTCTCTCTCCTTTCTTAAGTGGAGATTAAAACATATACAGAAGCCTGCTTCTTGATAATTGTCCTAGAAATGTTTTAATGTCACTTTTATGATGCAGATGGAACTGCTAAGAGAGTTGTGGCTGCTAAACCAGTTGTCGAGATGGATGGTGATGAGATGACACGCATCATCTGGGCTAAGATCAAAGAGAGACTGATATTTCCATATGTTAAGGTAAGCCTAATGAGAATTATTATTATGTCACAAATTAAATAAATAAATTTTTAAATTGTTTTATCTTTAGTTATGCAAATAGCATGTTTTTTTCTAATAATATAAAAGAGCATGTGAATTAAAAAGCTTTTTTTTATTTTCGAACTAGAAAATGAACATGACATAATATCTTTGTTACTCATATAAAAATGTAACAACCTTTTGATAAATAATTTTTTTGAAGGGAATATATACTTAATATATCTTCGCAATCAACTTCCATCATGAATGATTGTAACAATATTTATGTATGATTTATGGTAATAGTTTGTAATATATGCTCAAGAGGGTAGGTACTAAAATACTGCCTATAACTGCTGTAACACAGTCATGTGATAGTCAAAATACAATAGAGGCTTCACCCTGATGTTTGAAGGTGGGTGGGTAGTAAAATTAATGTCATGAATCCTGCAGACTATTAACCATGTAAACATGGTAGGCCATGTAAAAAAATGTCCAAACTAACATTTTTTTTAAGTATTACTATAACTATCAATTTATAAGTTTCAACAAGTACTTAATGTATTTTGTATAGTAAGCATTTAACAAACACAAATCAACTCAATTGAAGTACTCACTCACAATTGAAGGCAATTGTGAGTTGATTGAAATAGTAAAGTGGTCTAAAATAAAATAAATTGTGATCAAACTTGTTCCTGTTAGTATGTACATGTTGCCTTTTAGTATAGTATATTAGTTTGTCATTATATTTTTCTGTATCCCCGACAATTCATGTGCAAAAGCTTAGGATAATTGTTTCCGTAGTAAACACATGAAAGCATAACAAACAAACTCACTTTTGCATTGATTCACAACAAAAACTATTTATTCACTACAAGGAGAACCAAGAGCCAACTAAAATAATATAATAATATAACAAATGATAAAAACAAAAAGCCAATTAAATTTATTACTTAATGTGTAGAGAAATAAAAATAAAGCGCATATTGTTTTTTTTATTACTAATTATTATATCGACTATTATTAGGTTATTCAACTAGAACTTCGACACGTTTAACGTCCATGTGACTAACGGTATTCGTAAATGAATAGAATACAGTCTAAAATTAAATAATTATGATTGTATTTTATGCTTTAATACGCAGAGTTTAAAGGGCTTAATACTACAGGCCGGTACAATTTTTTTTAAGTAAACGTGCTCGCGAACGAAATCCAAAATAAAAAAACTACTAGTAGGGCGCACGTCTTTATTTTTCTTTTCTTTATATTTATGAAGAGCGGGACTACCGCTATATATTTAATATAATATTAAAATTACAACTTCGATCCTGACGTTTACCTTGTGACGTCCATGAGCGATTATAACGTCTATGTATGTATGTATATAACGTCTGCTTTCGATGGCTGTAACGCCAAAATTCAATCCAAATATTAAAAGTACGACTTTACTCGGGAAATATAAAAAAAGAAGTAGAACAAGATTATCGTCGAGAGCATTTCAATAAACAAAAAAATCAGCAGTGACCGATTACGGAAGCGATAGGAGATACAACGTCAAAATCGAAATAAAATTATCAAAACGTTTTTATGAAAAATTAAGTATACGGCGCCTTTCGTTTGGTTGGTCAAAAAATGTATGACACATGAACGATATCCTTACCAGGTGGATTGTCTTTACTTTGACTTGGGCCTCCCGCATCGTGACGCCACTGATGATCAGGTCACCATCGACTCAGCGCATGCCATTCTAAAGCATAATGTGGGCATCAAATGCGCTACTATCACACCTGATGAACAAAGAGTAGAAGGTACAATTTTGAATTAAAAACGTTTGTTTGCACCATTTATGCATTAGGCAATCAAAAGAAAAACAGCTTTAAAAAAAAACCATGTTTCGTTTTAATGTAAGGGAGAGAGTTAAATGTGATAATAATGCGTAGTGTAGCACTATGAGCACTACAGATTTAGTTAGCACTACTGAATCGAAGATCTTAATTGTTCGTATCATCTACGTACCCAATTGTCCTATTTGAATTTATTGTCATGTTGGTTTTTTAGAGTTCAAGTTGAAGAAAATGTGGCTAAGCCCGAACGGAACGATCCGTAACATTTTGGGCGGTACAGTATTCCGCGAACCGATATTGTGTCAGAGTATCCCGAGGGTTGTGCCTGGTTGGACGAAACCTATTGTGATAGGCCGTCATGCGCACGGCGACCAATACAAGGCGCAAGATTTTGTTGTACCGAAACCCGGAAAGGTGGGTAATCAAATAAAATACCAAAAGTAATTCTGGTATTTCTCAATTCGACGTATTAATAATATCAATTGACAGGTTGAACTTGTTTACACTACACGAGATGGTACGACAGAGAGGCGTGTATTATATGATTTTAAAACTCCGGGCGTTGCTATGGGCATGTACAATACCGACGAATCGATTCGGTCCTTTGCCCATTCCAGTTTTCAGGTAAATGGTTTTTTGCCTTTGTCGCTATCGAATACCACAACTTTGGGACTTGAACTCTTAAATCAATCCGCTTTTGTTATATCAGGTAGCTTTACAGAAAAAATGGCCTCTATACCTGTCTACGAAGAATACCATTTTGAAACGTTACGATGGTCGTTTCAAAGACATTTTCGAAGAAGTTTTTCAGAGGTATTTGAGAATGTGTTTTTTTTTCTACATGTTTAATGTTTTTTGTTTTTTTTTATTTTTTAATTATTATAACATTTTATATTTAGTGACTACAAGACTAAGTTTGATGAAGCCAAGATATGGTACGAGCATCGTTTAATTGACGACATGGTGGCACAGGCTATTAAGGGATCAGGTGGCTTTGTTTGGGCCTGCAAAAACTACGACGGAGATGTGCAGTCCGATATTGTTGCTCAGGTACGTATTGATTTGCACTGGACAATATATAAATGGGGTATTGTATAGACCGCAGAACTAAAATTAAATTGTTCGTTGCGTCGTAAATTATGATCAATTTTTTGGGTTCCGTAGCCATCATTCATCAGCTATTTTCTACTGGTGGTAGGATATCTTGTGAGTCCGCACGAGTAGGTACCACCGCCGTGCCTATTTCTGTCGTGAAGCAGTAATGCGTTTCGGTTTGAAGGGTGAGGCAGCCGTTGTAACTATACTGAGAACTTAGAACTTACCTATATCTCAAGGTGGGTGGCGCATTTACGTTGTAGATGTCTATGGGCTCCAGTAACCACTTAACATCAGGTGGGCTGAGAGCTCGTCCACCCATCTATGCAATAAATTTAAAAAAATCCTATATTTGTATAATTAGTTTTCGCTTACACTCCATTTTTAGTTTGCGGACTAGAACTATGTCTTCGCTTTTAGGTTTCACTGAAATATACTGTGAAATCAAAATATCCTTATGGTTTTTTGTAACAGTTTATATAAACTATATATATATTATATATATTCGCGATTACGCCAAGCAATGTCATATTGAACACACTAGTCCAGTCACCGAGGAAAAAAGGGGCGTTCGCTACAGAAGTTCAAGGATGGTTTTAATTTTTTAAAGTTCATTGTCCTATTTAATATTCAGAGGTAGCCTCCTTGGGCGTCGGCCGCTCGACATTCGGAATTAAGTCGATAACCGGTTTCTCGAGATATATTCTCTGCAGAGTTGCAGTTGGATTGCGGAAATTATAAAGGGAGATGTTTCTTATAACTTCGTTTTAATCCGTTACCGTACGAGTGATAACAGTGTTAGCTTAAAATTTACACGAAATTCGTACAATTTGTAATTGGCATGCGCTTATCAAGTCGCACTGGAAGCCAGTTTTACAATATCTATTATAAATTTATTTCCAAATACTAAAATAGTTCTTATCGCGAAATATAAAAAATAATACCGGATATAAAAAAAAGACCTGATATTTTTTTTTTGGTATACCGATGATGTGAGTAACAAAAACAAAGCTACGTATCTTATACGTATTATCATCAGCACGCCTTGTTGTGGGCGTGTCAGAACGATAAAAATTCGACCCAAGAATACGTTGGGAACAACAACATGGAGCCGAAATTTCGTTCTCGCATCGTTATTTTTATCTACGAAATCATATAACACTCATGAGTACTTTTAAATTGAGAGCTCAGAGGTTCAATGCCACCCTATCAATAAATCCACTGGTTTCAATTATCTAAAGGTATTGATTGAAAGTTACTGTATTCTGACTATTTGTGCCCTAAATGTATACAACATAAATGACATGCACTGTTGCTTTTAAAAATCTAGTTCGTGTGCTTCGTAAGCGAACAAAAAATTATCGACCCAGTTACGAGTCGGTAAGTCGTAATCGTCAAATAGCTAAATGGTTTGTTCTCGAATGTAATAAGATACCGCAGTTTGTAGGTATCCTACCAAAAACATTGAATTCATATAACTCGTAATGTTCTACACGATTAGGGTTACGGGTCATTGGGAATGATGACATCAGTATTGATGTGTCCCGATGGCCGTACCGTGGAATCCGAAGCGGCGCACGGGACGGTGACACGTCACTACCGTATGCACCAGCAAGGCAAGCCGACATCGACTAACCCGGTCGCTTCTATCTACGCCTGGACAAGAGGTCTTGCACACCGGGCCAAATTAGACGAGACTCCAGAATTGGAGCGCTTCGCTCTAGCCCTCGAAGAGGTATTATAAACAATTCTTAAGTTTAATTATGGAACCATAGTTCAACATTGCAATAATCTTCATAATTTTTCTCCGATCAACTGTGTAAACTTAGTTAAAGAAAAAAAAACACGGGACATAAAAGAACGCTTCAGTTATATAATTGTTTGAACATGGCTGTTGCTAAACAAATATTGACTTGCAGAATGTCATTATATCTTTCTAAAAGAACGACAATGATAAGATACGAAATTTACGTAAATATACTTTCTCACAATTTTTTTTATATCAAACAAGCAAATATCATAAAGTCAGCATTACTCGTTATCAATATAGATGAGTAATATAATCAGAATAGCTGATGTGAACTGTTGTTATGTTTTTGGGACACAGGCGTGCGTCGAGTGCATCGATAGCGGTAAAATGACAAAAGATTTGGTTATTTGTATACACGGATTGGCGAACACGAAAGAAGGTATGTTTTTACACACCGAAGATTTCCTGGAGGCGATCGCCGAGCAGCTGGAACGCAAGTTGGGCGGCAAATAAAAACACACAATCACCTATAAACAACACCCCGTAGCTGAACATTGGTACCCAGGCCGTGATTCTGTTGTTGCATCCCCGAATTATGTATACCTTTTTTTTTACGCTCATATTGCTCGGCCCTGCTTTTTTTTCCTACCTAAGCTGATAGCCTTGAGAGGCTATTTCAGCGTAACCTTAACTAGTAGGTGAGCTCATGGAGCTCAAACCGGAGTGATGCTAACACTGGTCCTAGCAAGAGCAGTGCTTCGCAGAATCTACCACCGGATCGGAAACGTGACCCACTGAGAAGATCCGGCGAGAAACTCAGTGGGCTGTGTCTATGGGTTAATTCGCTCGTCGAGCTCTTCGTCGCAAGCGACGGGTTCAACGAGGACGGTGACCGGGGGCCCTGCTGAAACTCGGACAAACAAAACGTGAATCATGTGTCATTGTGTTCCTATTCATATTTAATTATATAAAACTCATAGAACACACATGGCCGTTATTGATACTTAATAGAAATTAATGTTCACTATATAATTGTGTCGTTGTTAAAAAATATTTTATCATGTTTGATAGAGATTTTAAATGTAAGCGTAAAAATGACTTATTATTTGTGTTTATAAAGTATTTGCAGTGCTGTGTCAGATGTTGTGTAATCAGTTAAAATTTTACGAAATGGAATCATTTTCAAATATTATTAACTAGTTTGTAATAACGATTTTGCAGTAATTGGAAAGTGTGTCGCAAGTTTATTTTTCAAAAATAATCTTAGTCACGTATCATTGGTAATAGCAATTACAGTTTTTACGACATGTACTTTTGAACCCAATGTAGACTGATAAAGAGCACAAAGACTGAATTATCAGGGAATAAAAATAATAATACAATAAAATGTATGCAAAAATATATTTACACTGTAAGGTTAATTTAGTAACGATAACATTTTATATGAGAACATCAACTGACTTCCAATTTGCAAACAAAAATATATATGTATAAGAAATAATTTCTTATTAAATAAATAAAAGTATATTAATCATTCGAATGTTTTTATTTCAAAATACCTGTCATTTAATTTGTTCACATTAGCCGGATCCAAGATCGTGATGCGTGGAGCGTGGATCGTTCTAGGTTGATCCAACCGCAATCTTTTGCGATCCTGACTGGCTGCTCCAACGCGCTCCAGCCGATCCATACTGAATCAGTTGAATTTTGTCTGGCTATGGAGTCACACGTCCAACGACGGCGACGAATAGCCGTAGCAGCAGCAAGCTACATTTTACTTGTAGGTATATTTACGGCAAAAATTACGAAAACGAAAAAGACAGTATTGGGTTAACAATTTTTAAAAACGGGTTGGAATATAGGACTCGACTTTACAAAGAGTTAATTGATGATGGAGCTGAAGCTAATTTTGCACGAATGACTGCAAATCAAACATTTATTCTCCCTATATAGGGAAATTAAACGGATACATTCCGAATTATCCATAAAGGCGGATCACGCGATTCTAAATCGTCCAGACCGCGCGCGCCAAGCAACTGAAGCCCATTTGTGCGTCTACACTTCACGCTCCGTGGAGCGCGCTCCATGCCGCGCGCGCTCGGAGCGCCTTGGATCGTCCGGTGTGGATCCGGCTATTGAGATTTTCGATAACACGTGTTTCGGTAGGCAGCGGCTTGGCTCGGCTCCTGGCATTGCTGAAGTCCATGGGCGACGGTAACCACTCACCCACTTACCTTCGTCTACCTGGGAAACCTGGGAGACCTAACAACTCGAGAGCAACTGGTTCGCGAATGAATCTACTAACGGATCGGAATCGCGACCGCTCAGAAGATCCGGCGGGAAACTCAGCGGACTGATGCATGGGTTAGGTTGCACGTCGACGTCTTTGTAGAGTTCGACGAGTACGGTTACCATAGGTCTCTCTTGGAGGCGCTCGGGAGATGTTAGCCAATCCCACCACTCCTGGTTAAGCCCTTGCTCGCCCAGCTGTATTTGTGAAACTAGAAAAGCCTCCAGGCCACCAGTAATCTCTCAATCATAAAAAAAAGAAAAAAAGGATGTCCTCTTTGTATGCTTTGTTGCAGTGCTCAATCCAGATTTCGGACATAGTACCGTCACGGTACGGCGTACATACATGGCGCGCCAGTAGTTATAAGAAATCGATGTTTATGCATATGTTAACGGAAATGTATGTAATCCGTCATTGTATACAATTCCTAGGAAATGTATGTAATTCCTAAAATCGCACGGAAATGTGTGAAATAAATTATATTATACTTACACATTACACATTTCCTAGGAAATCTATAAATTTCCTAAATAGCAATCGGAAATGTAAAAAAACATTTAAGATATTTGTGGGTACGCGGGGACAGCGGGACGAGTCTTGCACTACGGTCAGTTGCCAACTTGCAATCCACTGGAACCGGCCAGGGATTTAAGAAGTGCCTTTGCAAGAAAAACTGTGCTACATCAAGATGTCTGTGTTTTAAAAATAAAGTATTATATACTTCCAAATGCCATTAGAGCTTACCCTGCAAAAATAAATAGCTATATGGACTGACAAAGTATTATAATATAAAGATTTTCTTTTATACTTTGACATTTATAATTACTTAATTATCAGACTGATTACTTGCCAAATGAAAATGTGATTTTATAAGAATAAATATAAGTTGATTTTGTGATACGTTAAAAGTTCTATAAGTTTTAATTAGTAAGATAATATGAATATATTATTATTATTTTACGGTATGACTGTTACCCGATTGTCTCAATAAGTGCTATAATAAAAAAATATTATTAGCAACGTGTTTTATTACAGAAAGCATTTACTTTATACATTTCCTAATACGATATTGGAATTATATACAATTCCGAGGAAATTTATACATTTCCTAGGATATCTATGCATTAAATAGTTTTTCAAACAATATTTTATACATTTCCTAAATAGTATCGGAATTGTACACATTTCCTAGGATTTGTATACAATTCCTTGATTTCATACANCAGAAAGCATTTACTTTATACATTTCCTAATACGATATTGGAATTATATACAATTCCGAGGAAATTTATACATTTCCTAGGATATCTATGCATTAAATAGTTTTTCAAACAATATTTTATACATTTCCTAAATAGTATCGGAATTGTACACATTTCCTAGGATTTGTATACAATTCCTTGATTTCATACATTTCCGGTAACACATACAATAAATGAAAACCAATTCAAATTTGATACGAAATTATATTTCTATCAGATCTTTATCTTTTACAACTTTATATTTTATTAATTTTGAATATTTCTTCAATAATATTTGCCAATAACATTTCACATCATAATCATCTAAGTTTTCCCAAATATGTTGAAATCCCCTATCTGCTATTTCCTTTGCAAGTGCATCCTCAGCTTTAAAGAATTCTATGACTTGTTGAATTTCATCTTTGCTTGCCTTTGGGCTAATTGGTATATAATGCACCCAAGGCTTCAGTGACGGATAGAAGAATTCTAGCCATTCATCACCGACATGAAAAACCAAGGATTTGCATAGAAATAAATGTTTAAATCTGAAACTAGCTGCTACACCTCTGTAGTTAAACAGATATTTATATTTGCAATGATCTTCAAAGGACACTTCTGAGGCGGCAGGAGCATGTAGTGTATCCTGAAATTTTTAAGAGTTATATATATGTCGGCGCAAATATGACTATTTACCTACTGATCATCAACTAATTACTCTGTGATAAGAAATTGATGTTAAACAGTCCCTTTTATTGTAATTTCAATACTTTAAAATCTTGTAAACACGCTCACGTGTTTAATACTTGTAAACACGCTGACGTGTACGAAGTCCTATAAATACGGCCGTGCTGTCTAGCGTTTATTCGTTCGTTTCGATATCGAGTAGAGGGAACTCGTTCTCGTCCCCGTCAACTGACCGCCGGAGTCCCGCAAGGCTCCGCGCTCTCCCCGTTATTATTTAGTTTGTATATCAATGATATACCCCGGTCTCCGGAGACCCATCTAGCGCTCTTCGCCGATGACACGGCTATCTACTACTCGTGTAGGAAGATGTCGCTGCTTCATCGGCGACTCCAGATCGCAGTAGCCACCATGGGACAGTGGTTCCGGAAGTGGCGAATAGACATCAACCCCACGAAAAGCGCAGCGGTGCTCTTCAAAAGGGGTCGCCCTCCGAACATCACTTCGAGCATCCCACTCCGTAGTAGGCGCGCAAACACCTCCGCCGTTAGTCCCATCACTCTCTTTGGCCAGCCCATTCCGTGGGTCTCGAAGGTCAAATATCTAGGCGTCACCCTCGACAGAGGGATGACATTCCGTCCCCATATAAAAACGGTACGCGACCGCGCCGCGTTTATTCTAGGACGACTCTATCCAATGCTTTGTAGTCGAAGCAAACTGTCCCTCCGCAATAAGGTAACTCTCTACAAAACTTGTATACGCCCCGTCATGACGTATGCAAGCGTAGTGTTCGCTCACGCAGCCCGCACCAACTTGAAATCCCTTCAGGTTATTCAATCACGATTCTGCAGGATAGCCGTCGGAGCGCCTTGGTTCCTTAGGAATGTGGATCTCCACGACGACCTGGAGCTCGACTCTTTTAGTAAGTATCTACAGTCGGCATCGCTGCGCCATTTTGAGAAGGCGGCACGACATGAGAACCCTCTCATCGTAGCCGCTGGAAATTACATACCCGACCCAGTAGACCGAATGGTAAACCGTCGACGTCGCCCAAAGCACGTCATTACGGATCCTCCTGATCCATTAACGGTGCTTTTAGGCACCACAAGCACCGGTCACCGTCCTCGTCGAACCCGTCGCTTGCGACGAAGGGCTCGACGAGCGAACTAACCCATAGACACAGCCCACTGAGTTTCTCGCCGGATCTTCTCAGTGGGTCGCGTTTCCGATCCGGTGGTAGATTCAGCGAAGCACTGCTCTTGCTAGGGTCAGTGTTAGCAACTCTCCGGTTGAGCCCCGCGAGCTCACCTACTAACGTTAGGGTGAAGCTGAAGTAGCCTCTCAAGGCTATCAGCATAGGTAGGAAAAAAAAAAAAAAAAAAAAAAAAAAAAAAAAAAAAAAAAAAAAAAAAAAAAAAGCGTTTATTCATTCGTGTCCGAGCCGTAGTACAGTACGGATCTCTCTGTAACGTTGTTATGC